TCCCAAGTCCAGCCGTGTGCGGTGGCTCACGCCTGTAATCCCAATACTTTGGGAGGCTGAAGTGGGTGGATCACCTGAGGGCGGGAGTTCGAGACCAGCCTGACCAACACGGAGAAACCCTGTCTCTACTAAAAATACAAAATTAGCTAGGCATGGTGATGCATGCCTGTAATCCCAACTACTCGGGAGGCTGAGGCATGAGAATTGCTTGAACCCGGGAGGCGGAGGTTGTGGTGAGCCGAGATCGCACCATTGCACTCCAGACTGGGCAACAAGAGGAAAAGTCTGTCTCAAAAAAAAAAAAAAAAAAGAAATGTCCCAAGTCCTCATGGTTAGCAAATGGCAAAGTGTGGATTCACACCCAGATCTGTCTGACCTGAGGCTTGTTCTCAGCGCTGTGGCTGCGCTAAAACTCAGAAACATTGCTGCCCCAGTGCACACCACGAGAAAGTGTGGGTGCCCCTAGCATGACTAACTCCTAAAGCTCATGCTCTCTCCATTATGTCATTGGGGCGGGCGTTGCGGCTGGCGGGATGAGTGGCTCACAGGAGCAGCCTCTTGCAGTCAGCTGAGAACGTGGAGGGATACATGAATGCGGAGACTGCAAAAACTCCAGACTTGAAGAGAAAAAGAAAGTTGCCAGTGACCAGAGAAATACCAGAAAAAATCAGCTGAGCCCAGGATTTCTACTGTGCCCAGGAGAGCGGCCAGCTCAGAAATGAGGGGTGGGGGCTCCCCTAGGTAAACAGTATTCTGGGAAGGAGGTCTGGAGAAGCAGCCAGAGACAGCAGCCAAAGGAGCAACCGCGCAGGGGAACAGAGGGCTGAGGCTGCAGAGCTGCACATTCAGGGCCCTTGGGGTGGGCAGCATTGAGTTGATTCTGAGGCTGGGACTGGAGAGGGAGGTCCTAGGCTCTGACTTGGCTGACCGTCCCCCAAAGGGGACAGCTGGAGCGGGCCACAGGACTATTTTGCCAATGCTGCCACCTTGTGGTCGTAGAATGCCCAGCCCACGGGAAAAAAATGTACACATAGGTCAGCTTGTGGATTCATTCTTCATTTATTGAAAGTGCCTGATGTGAGTGACATGGGTCCAACCTTCAAGGACCTCAGCCCCTTATATCCAAGCAGTGACCAATCTCTCCTCTTTTCACCTCCCTCTTTTCATAACTTGTGTCCCCACCCCCAACTCCGAACTGGACTGTGAGGACAAGGATGGTATCTAACTCATCTCTAAAGCTACGGTACACAGCACAGGGCCTGCACAAGAGACTAGTAATAGCAGCCACTAGTTAATATGTGCTAAGTGCTTTTAAGTACATTGGCACATTGGATTCTGACCTCCAAATGGAGATGTCAAGGCAGGGTTTATTTCAACATGAGCCTGGAGTTCTCGGAGAGGTCAGAGATGGAGAAATAAAGGTGGTGTCACTTGCACAAACACAGATGGTGTTATTTTAAAGGCCAGCACCCCTCAAAGTTTTATGTGCATATGGCTCACCAGGGAACTATGCCAAAATGCAGACTCCAATGATTCTGTAGTCTGAAATGGGGTAAAGATTCTGTTTCTACCAGACTCCCGGGTGGGGCCAATACTGCTGGTTCACAAACCACATTTTGAGTGGTAAAAATCTGGAACAGAGGTAAATAAACTATGGCTAGCTGCTCAAGTCTGGCCCAGAGCCTCTGGTTTGTACAATCAGCAAACTAAGGGTGATATTTTCATTTTCACAGGGGTGGAGAAAAAGAAGGAGAAGGAGAAGGCAGAAAAGACAGAAAAGGGGGGTAGGGAGGAAGATGGAAAGAAAAGAAGAAAAGGAGGCAGAGACCATTTGTGCTTCACAAGGCCTAAAATATTTACTCTTCGGTTCTTGACAGAAAAAGTTTGCCAACCCTGACCTTGGATATCACCCAGGGACACGGTGTGTAGCTAAACAAGGGAGCGACTGGCCCCTGAAGCAAACCGCTATGACTTCCAAATCCCCATCCCTAGTTTTGGTAGGAAAAGCAAGAGTGCAAGGCACCACATGTACAGTGGGCCTTCCATACTGTGGGTTCCATAACTGTGGATTCAACCAACTGCAGATCAAAACTATTTTTAAAAAGAAGGACATTGTGTCTATACTGAACAGAAACAGACTTTTCTTGTTATTATTACCTAAGAAACATGGTATAATGACGATTTACATAGCATTACATTGTAGCGGGTAGTAAAAATAACCTAGAGATGATTGAAAGTATATGGAAGGATGTGCTTAGGGTACATGCAAACACTGCACATTTTATATCAGGGACTTGAGCATCCATAGATTTTAGTGTCTGAGGAGGGTCCTGGAACCAATCCCCAGTGGATACTCAGGGATGAATTATATGCCAAGAGGGCAGGAAGGCCGGGCACAGTGGCTCACGCCTGTAATCCCAGCTCCTTGGGAAGCTGAGGTGGGTGGATCACCTGAGGTCAGGAGTTTGAGACCAGCCTTGCCAACACGGTGAAACCCTGTCTCTACTAAAAATACAAAAATGAGCTGGGCATAGCCAGGTGTGATGGCTCACACCTGTAATCCCAGCACTTTGGAAGGCCTAGGTGGGCGGATCACCTGAGGTCAGGAGTTCGAGACCAGCCTGATCAACATGGAGAAACCCCATCTCTACCAAAAATACAAAATTAGCCAGGCATGGTGGCGGGTGCCTATAATCCCAGCTACTCAGAGGGCTGAGACAGGAGAATTGCTTGAACCTGGGAGACAAAGGTTGTGGTGAGCTGAGAACGCGCCATTGCACTCCAGCCTGGGTAACAAGAGTGAAACTCCATCTCAAAAAAAGAAAAAAGAAAGAGCTACTGGCAGGGTGAAAGACCGTTGCGGAGGCAATGATAGCACTTT